CCCTCGGGCTCCCGCCCTGGGCATCATTGTGCCTCGTCCAGCGAGCCATCAGGCCCTCTTCGCCGTGCAGAACGCCGCTCCCTACAGCGGCTATGGTGCCGCGCCTCAGCCCACGCCCGCATACGGGGCCGCGCCTGCCTACGGCGCCGGCCTTCGGCACCGCCGCCGCGCCCGCCTTCGGCGCCGCCCCCGCGCCCGCCTACGGGGGGTTTTACCCTCCTCAGGTGCCGCCGCCATGGGACCCGGCCCTTCTCGCCGCCCTGCACTCTGATACGTCTCCAACGTATCTATAATTTTTGATTGCTCCATGCTATATTATCTACTGTTCTAGGCATTATTGGGCTTTATTATCCACTTTTATATTATTTTTGGGACTAACCTATTAACCGGAGGCCCAGCCCAGATTTGCTGTTTTATGCCTATTTCAGTGTTTCGAGGGCGGAACGAAATCAACTGGAGAAGTAATTTTTGGAAGGAAAGCCACCGGATAGACTTGGACTCTACGTCAGAAGATACGGGAGCTGGCCACGAGGGTGGGGGGCGCGCCCACCCCCCTAGGGCGCGCCCCCTACCTCGTGGGGCCCCTGAAGCTCCACCGACGTACCCCTTGCACCCATGTATACCTACGTATCGCAAAACTTCCAGAATAGAGATTAGATTGGGAGTTCCGCCACCGCAAGCCTCTGTAGCCACCAAAAACCTCTCGGGACCCTGTTCCGGCACCCTGCCGGAGGGGGGATCCCTCACCGGTGGCCGATCTCCATGACGAGGAGGGAGTAGTTCACCCTCGGGGCTTAGGGTATGTACCAGTAGCAATGTGTTTGATCTCTCTCTCTCTCTCTCTCGTGTTCTTGATTTGGCACGATCTTGATGTATCGCGAGCTTTGCTATTTTAGTTGGATCTTATGTTTCTTCTCCCCCTCTTCTCTCTTGTAATGTATTGAGTTTTCCCCTTGAAGTTTTCTTATCGGATTGAGTCTTCAAAGACTTGAGAACACTTGATGTATGTCTTGCGTGGG